CGCGCGGCCCGGCCGCACCCAGCCGCCCGAGCTGGCTGGATCTCCGGCGCCGAGCGGCGGCTGAGGAGACGAACGAGCGAGGGCACCCTGATTTCTCTGAGGGCTTGTTTGGGGAAGGAATTCAGGTAGCTAAGCTTTCATTCTCATGGCTGCTCCCTCCTAGTCCTCTGAAACCCTGAGGTCTGCAGGAAAGCAAACGGTGGCGGTGAGGCAGATAGATGAGTGTTTGTCCCACCCTTGGACGGCCTCGGTCCCCACCCCGGAGTGGGCAGCAAAAGTGTCTTGACCGGCAGCCCGGTTAACCCTTCCCACCCAAGCTTTGTGGCTCCGGAGCCAACAGGGCTCCTTTTTGGGGTGGAGGCAAGCGGTGTTGGAAGAGTGAGAGAGAGGCCTGGCTAGCTTTGCTCCAGTTCGTCCCTGTCCCTGCAGTGCTGGCCGAGGCTGAGAGGGACCTGGGCCTGGCAGGGCTTTCCAACACTCCTGAACTGGGCCCTCCTGTTGACCCCCAACAGGCTCCGGAACGGGCCTTTGTCTCCTAGCTCCGTCTTCCCTTCCTACCGGTTGTAACTCACACCATAACGTGCCGGTGCCAGTACCACTCCCAGCCAGTCCAGCATCAGTCTCAGCTCCAGGTCACAGGACATGCTGACTCCTGGGAGGCTGTGGGTCGTGCTTGGCATTCACTACTGGGTCTAGCCTGGGCCCTTCCTGGCTTTAGGGAGGGGAGCGTGCTTCCTACCATTTGTCTCCCTACCTTGATGGCCCATTCTCCCTCACTTTTTAGAAGCTCTTGTCTCCTGTGCATTTGTGTGCAGGAGGGCGAGTGCAGCCTCTTATACAAGTGTGTGCATGTGTGTCCACCCTCTTTGGCTGGCACGTGGGCACACACATCCAGAGTCAAGAGTTGGGATTACATATACAATAACTTCAAGGCATCTGTGGGTAGAAGTGGCCCAAGTTAGTGTGTGGATTATGTGTGTGTTCTTGGTGCCTACAGAGGGGGACAGGGCAGGGTCTGTCCATCCTTGGTAGCCCTGAGGAGGGTGGAAGGACAGAGGCCCAGGAAGGTGCTGGCTGCTGGCCAGAGGATGGACCCATGGCCCATAGATTTCTGTGAGCCACAGCTGCAAGCTTTTGGCCCAGGCTGGGTTTCATGGCCACTGGGGCTACTGTAGTGAGGGCAGAGTTTATAAAAATGCTGTTCTAAAGATGAGGTTTGTCGTTTGCTAGATTGAGAGCGAAGTTGAGTGCTTAAGCTGATGTTTGAAAAAAGGGGGATGCTTCAAGTTTTCCACATTTTCAGTAGGTGACCACATCTCATGATGAATGTTGGTCTTGAATAGAAACCTCCTATGTTCAGACTTCAGGAGAGTCCAGGACTTTGAAGGACTTTATCGATTTGAATTTCACTTGATCCAAAAGGTGTCATAGTGTAGTAAGTTAGGCAGAACCTCCTTATAGTCATTGTCCCTGGGCTTATAAAGGCAGATTCATAGATTTCCAGGAAAGCCTCTTCTATTCGAAGCTCTGAGACCCTCTAGCTGGAGGCTTGGCAGCAGGAGGGGGAGGGACATGTTATAGTGTCCGAATTCTTATAGGGACACTAACAAATCTGCTTTTCATTCTCTCATTTCTTGCCTCTTCCCACCTTCTCTCCTCTAGCTCCCTCCATTGGCCCAGGAAGCCCCACCCTGCCCTGCCACACAGAACCCAGAAGGAAAGGAAGCCTCATGCCTGAGCCGAGGGGCGCACCATGGATCTGACAAAGATGGGCATGATCCAGCTTCAAAACCCTAGCCACCCCACAGGGCTGCTGTGCAAGGCCAACCAGATGCGGCTGGCTGGGACTCTCTGCGACGTGGTCATCATGGTGGACAGCCAGGAGTTCCACGCCCACCGGACGGTGCTGGCCTGCACCAGCAAGATGTTTGAGATCCTCTTCCACCGCAACAGCCAGCACTATACCCTGGACTTCCTCTCGCCAAAGACCTTCCAGCAGATTTTGGAGTACGCGTACACAGCCACCCTGCAGGCCAAGGCGGAGGACCTGGATGACCTGCTGTATGCAGCTGAGATCCTGGAGATCGAGTACCTGGAGGAGCAGTGCCTGAAGATCCTGGAGACCATCCAGGCCTCCGATGACAATGACACGGAGGCCACCATGGCGGACGGCGGGGCCGAGGAGGAAGAGGACCGCAAGGCTCGGTACCTCAAGAACATCTTCATCTCGAAGCATTCCAGCGAGGAGAGTGGGTATGCCAGTGTGGCTGGACAGAGCCTCCCTGTGCCCATGGTGGACCAGAGCCCCTCAGTCTCCACCTCATTTGGTCTGTCAGCCATGAGTCCCACCAAGGCTGCAGTGGACAGTCTGATGACCATAGGACAGTCTCTTCTGCAAGGGACTCTTCAGCCACCTGCAGGGCCCGAGGAGCCGACTTTGGCGGGGGGTGGGCGGCACCCTGGGGTGACTGAGGTGAAGACAGAGATGATGCAGGTGGATGAGGTGCCTGGCCAGGACAGCCCTGGGACAGCTGAGTCTAGCATCTCCGGAGGGATGGGGGACAAAGTTGAGGAGAGGGGCAAAGAGGGTCCAGGGACCCCAACTCGAAGCAGCGTCATCACCAGTGCCAGGGAGCTGCACTATGGGCGAGAGGAGAGTGCCGAGCAGCTGCCACCCCCCGCAGAGGCCAGCCAGGGGCCCCCTGGTCGACCTGAGCATGCAGTGCCCCCAGCTGAGAAACACTTGGGCATCTACTCCGTGTTGCCCAACCACAAGGCTGATGCCGTGTTGAGCATGCCGTCTTCGGTGACCTCCGGCCTGCATGTACAGCCTGCCCTGGCGGTCTCCATGGACTTCAGCACCTACGGGGGTCTGCTGCCGCAGGGCTTCATCCAGAGGGAGCTGTTCAGCAAGCTGGGAGAGCTGGCTGTGGGTATGAAGTCCGAGAGCCGGTCCATTGGGGAGCAGTGCAGCGTGTGTGGGGTCGAGCTCCCCGACAATGAGGCCGTGGAGCAGCACAGGTAGGCCTGGCACCAGCCCCCTACCTGCTGCCGCACTTCTGGCCCCAACACCCTTACTTCATGCTCCAGAGGCTCCCACGTCCCGGGGCTCTTCCCCCATCTTCTTGTTATTTGTAAGAATCCTTTCTCCAAAGTTCTGGGAGCAGGGGAACATATTTTTCGGAGTATGGCCAGGGGACTGGGGTCTTCCCAAAGTGTTGGGGAACCCGTGTGCTTAGCCTCTTGCTAGGCCCTTCCCTCTCTTTTAGCTTTTGGACTCCTTTTTTTTTTTCCTTGCTCTTCTTTGCCTAGAATGACTAACAGAGGAGGGAAGAAGGGGAGGAAGAGGGATTCAGGATGAAGGTCTCCTGTGGCCTAGATCTGGCCATGTCACTGGCTCGTGGATACCTGGACCCCCCCTAGTGGTTCTTGCATAGGCAGGCTACTGCTGTCTGCAGCTCCAGGGGGTAGAGCTGGGTGCTGCTTGGGCCACTGGGGCAGCTGCAGGTCCCAAACTGTCATTCCTGGTGAACGTCCATTTCATTACCTCCTCTTCCTTCTCATTCACTGTTCCTGCGAATGCTTTTAGAAGAGTTGATTTAAATTGAGGCCGGGAAGGATGGGTGTAAGAGGCTTGGTCTTGCAGCCTTATGGTAAAGTCGTCTCATTCTTATCCCAACTCTGCTCACTTTGAATAAAATGCCACTAGGGCTCTCTGGTGTCTGCTTCCTCCTCTGTGACAGTAGTAAATACTTTCCATGGAGTTATGTTTTGGTAACAATAGCCCCGTAAGGTAGGTCATGTTCTGCTTTTACGTAGGAGAGTATTAAGTCTCAGATACGAAGTTCGTTTTCCAGGGTCTCATAGGCAGTAAGAGGCAGAACTGGATTCAGTTCCGGGTCTCCCCCCTCATACTTGGTCATTCGGTCTAGAACAGGGGGTTCTGAACATTGCTCATCCGAAGCGGAGTGAATAACCCAGGGAATCTGTCAAGAGTTGGCGTTTTTCATGTCTGTCATGAACTATATGCTGTCGTTTTACCCTGTGGCCCCTGGGTCAGAAGAGGGCATCAAGAAGTCCAGTTCTCTGTGGTCATCAGTGATAGCATTC